TCTGTATACTAAGCAACAATAGGTGTCATAAGAAATAACCAAGTGAATTTTGATTTGAGTGTTTGCAAAGCCAGATTATAGTACTAAATATGGAAATAATTATATTTTAAAATTTGAATCTGTTGGATTAAATAAAATACTATCTAGGGTATCACATCAAGATAATAATATTGAACACTTGACTGACGATTTATCCACATACATAGGAAACCCAATAACCCTCACCTGCCAAGCATATAATTTTAGATTAAATAGACCAAAAAAAAATTCAAATGAGTGCTACTAAAGCTGGACATTTGCAAGTGGAAACTAAAATGTGAGTCACAAAATACAGCCAAAAGCAAAGTTATTAGTCTAAGACTTATTATAGTTTCCAGATAAGTTTATTAGAAGGAGAATGACAAATGGCTGTGAAAAAGAGCGGTTAGATAGATATTTATGATGATGCAAATGAACGAAAGCAGACAGAAGATGATTAAATATCAGAAAATACTGTTTGTTGAGGAACAAATGGAATAAATTAAGTTAAATGCTATAGCAAGCCCCAGAGTAGTGGAAAGTCATAATGATTACATTGAAAACAACACACTAGGAAGGAAAAAACAATCGAGGAACTTTGTACAGAGTATATTAGTTGTTTTTGGCCTTTTTTAGTAGTGTAATACTATTTACACATAAAATTTGACATTGGCAGTAGCTCAGTATTTGAAATAGATGAGATCAGAAGTGCTGTTGGGCTTTTTGGGGAAAAGGGGTGTCACCCTTTCCTGTCTCATCAAAGGTTCTCCTGCAAAGCTAATGAAGTCCTTTTCGGGAACTTGTGGGGTTTGTAGAAAAGGAGTTTGGAAACCAAAACTTGACAAAGGTATGGTTTTAAAATGCCATAACAAAGAGTTATGTAAATGTTCATTATATGCATGAGTATTTTAAAGTAAATGACTTGTTTACATTTTCTTTTAAAGAGAGAGAGTGTGCATGCTCACACCGGGGGAGGGGTAAAGGGAGAGGGAGAAAAAACCCTGGCAGACTCCCTGCTGAGCCCGGAGCCCAAAGAGGGCTCCATTCCACAACCCGAGCTTAAGCCAGAGTTGGACACCCAACCGACTGTGCCACCCAGGTGCCTGCTGTTTGCTTAACGGTTTCTTGAACAACCGTTAAAATCTGTGTGTACTTTGAGCACCAAACTGAAAGCCAGTATCTTAGATTTGAGTTCTGAAGTTCTTCAACTTCTTTTTTCAATAAAGTAAAATAAAAATTATTTGAACCAGATTAGTTACTGAGTAAAGATTGAGAGGGAGCCCTCAATTTGCATGAAAATCGAGAGAACAGGACAATATGAAAACTTTACAAAGGAGCCAAGGGACTCCTGGTTATATGCTAAATGTACAGCACTTATGTAAATACATCCAAAGCCTTAGTGGAACATTCACAAGGTTAACAGCTGATCCAGCAACTTGATTTATCAGAAAAGGTCTCTTAAGTTATAGAAATGAATTGAATTGAAACCCCAGATATCCAAATGTTACATCTTGGTGTTTCTTTTTTCTTTTTTTTTTTTTTAAGATTTTATTTATTTATTTGTCAGAGAGAGAGAGAGCGCACAAGCAGGGGGAGCAGCAGAGGGAGAGGGAGAAGCAGGCTCCCTGCTGAGCAAGGAGCCCGATATGGGACTTGTTCCTAGGGCCCTGGGATCATGACCTGAGCCGAAGGTTAACCGACTGAGCCACCCAGGCATCCCTATCATGGTGTTTTGTTTTGTTTTGTTTTTAAAGATTTTATTTATTTATTCATGAGAGACAGAGGGAGAGAGAGAGAGAGAGAGAGAGAAGCAGAGGGAGAAGCAGGCTCCCAAGGAGCAGGGAGCCTGATGTGGGACTCGATCCCAGGACTCTGGGATCATGACCCGAGCCGAAGGCAGACGCTTAACCATCTGAGCCACCCGGGCGCCCTATCATGGTGTTTTTATACCTTGCAAGAAAATTTCAGCCAGTCACACCGTCAGAACAAGTCTTCCAGTTTGGTCAGTTTACTCAGGTGATCAAATTGTAGTTCCTGGGCGAGCATAGAATTGGAATTGGATGTTCTTCCTTCATGGAACTTTTTAATAAAATCTACTACTTACGGGGCACCTGGGTGGCTCAGTTGGTTAAGCGTCTGCCTTCAGCTCAGGTCATGATCTCAGGGTCCTGGGATGGAGCCAGCATCAGGCTCCCTGCTCAGGGGGGAGCCTGCTTCTCCCTCTACTCCCTGCTCATGCTCTCCCTCGCTATCTCTGTCTCTCTCAAATGAATAAAATCTTTAAAAAAAAAAAAATCTACCACTTACTAATTATCTCCTGTATAGGATCGTAGTTTTATATACATTATCTTATTTTATCCAATATTTACAATTGAGACAAGATTAAATAACTTAGCCAAGACTACCTGGCTAACAAGTAAAAGCACTAGGATTTGAACTGATTTGCTAAGTCCGCAGTCTTTCCCTGTATTTTAAAGTCTACTCTATCCTAGTCTTGTCCATTTGAATATAGATGCTGGTCCCTTACTTAGGTGTTACTTTTTCCAGAACTTATACAATATCTCTTAGAGCATATTGTCTACAAAAGACCAATAACATCCATTTTCTGTTAATTGGTACCTTCTGCTATAATTACGTTGCTCAGACTCTGTCCCCAATTTCAGAGGCATAATAAACAAGAACAGAAGAAACACTGCCAGGTTTTATTAATTTATCTTATTTAATTATGCCTCATAATTTCCTAAAACCCAGATATTGTAGAATATGGGTATAAATGTTATTAGGATAATTAATTTTTTTCCAAGAGCCTATTACTGCTTCAACAAAGCAAAATCTAATTTCTTTGTATCACAATGAACTACTCCAAAGATAAATACTTCTAGATTATCCAATATTCTAGGCTTCTTAATAAATTAGCAATTAAAAGTAGTAACCAAAATCAGAAAACATCAACATTTTAGAGAACTAAAGACTTCTTAAACTAGCTATATAAGCCAAGGAGAAATGGGACCTTTCACCGTATGTGGTAAACTATAAGAATTTGGAATTCAAACAGTCATGCTTTCCTTCATAAACAGAAAAAGTATTTTTTTAATGCAAGTTTGTATCCTTTAAAAAGGTAAATTAGAAAAAGTCACTGAAGTTTGGAATAGGATTCAGTCATGCCAAAGGAGGGATCAAAATGAAGCTAGGCAAGAATCTTGAGAAGAGTTTTTTTCCTCTTTATGTATTTGCCTCATTGTCCTTGCAACAACTAGGAGCATAAACAAGAAAGACGGGGAGGCTGTGCACCTGTTCCCGCAGGTCCTCTTACTGCCAGAGGACTTGGTTCTATTGGGTTTTGAAATTGCTTTGTCTTCACTTTATAGCCTACGTGGAAGCTGCACAGCTCGTCACAATTCCACTACGCATCGAGGGCACCCCAGTAGTGATTTTCCAGACAGCTTAACTTGTTTTCAAACATGGTTCAAGAGAACTCTTAAGGTTGTGTGGAAAAAAAAAAAAAAAAAAGGAAAAGAAATTAAACTGCCACTGCAAAAAAACAAAAAAAGCCACAGAGTAACAAATTTAGGTAGATTGTTTATCTCCGTTTCATTTTAGTTCTTTTTGTGGGTTTTGTCTTGTTCTTTCATCTGGATCATAGTCCTCCGTCTTCTCATTTTGCTCGACTTGTTTTGTTTCAGTGAGTTAGGCGAACAGCTACCTTCCCTAAAGTTGAAGGAGTGACCCCATGGAGGGTCGTCCCTGGTGCAGACTGTGCTGGGGGCCCCCGGTGGGATGGGTGGGGTGAAGTGGGCACGGGCTGGGGTGGTGCCCGGGCTCTCCGCACCGAGGTTACCCTGGGAGGACAGCAGAAGCTCAAGCTGGTGGAGCGGGGTGTCCCCCCAGGAGCTAGGTGCAGGGCGAGCCCTGCTGGGGCAGGTGGAGCGGAAGCATGCACAGGCCGGCTGTCCGAAGCCCGAGCGCGGGGCACCGGTTTCATCATATGCCGCTGGCTGGGGGTGCCCTGCCGTGCGCCGCGGTGGGGCCACCTTGGTGGGGCGCCTGAGAATGGTGTGGGCTGGGGGCCCGGGGCGCGCTGAGGCGCCAGGCCAGCTGGGCTGCCCCGACCCTGCTCCGCCGGACCGAGGTGGAGGGGGACCACAAAGGGTGCAGCTCGCCAGCCCCTGTGACTCGGTGTTGTTCCAGCAGCTTCCCCGCTGTTCAGTGGAGCTCTAAGGCTGGATCGTTTGTATTCTAGTTGCTCTTTTAAACTGCGGGGTTTTTTTCCTGTGCCCGAGGGCATCTGGGGCTAGAGCCAGGGCTCGCGGAGGCGGCAGGCCGGCCGTGGCGCGCGGAGCCCTGCTCCCGTCAGCACCATGCGCTCGCAAGGCGGAGGCCAGTGTAAACAGTGGCGCTCGCCAGCCCCCGGAGCTGGAGAGGCTCCAGCAGCTCCCCCGCCGCTTGGCAGGGTTCTGGGGCCGAGGCCTTTCTGTTCCGGTGGCTCCTTTACACCCGGCTTTCTTCCGCGTGCCGCAGGGCCGACGGATCTGCGGCGGGTCCCTCCGCTCTAGCACACGGTGGGCTTCCCGGGGTCAGCGCCCCCTCTCTCCCCGCCCTCCCCGCGGTCCCTCCGGCTTCTGTGCGGGAGCTGCTCCCCAGGCCTCGGTCCCCCTTCGGGAGGAGGGGCTCCCCGGGTCGGTGTAGACTCGGTGTAGACTCGGTGCGAGAGGTGAGAGCGGGCTCTTCCGGCGGCGCCATCTTGCACCGGAAGTTCAAATTGGCGCCTCAAGAAAGGAAGGCTGTGGCTCCTGGTTATCCTCGTGCCGGGCTCTGGGAGTTGATTACAGAATTAATTATACACTTCACTTATACGCTTTCCTTACGTTACATTCCTCGAGGTTCCAATGATTCAGACTGTTTTTAGCTTCATAAACTTGATGTGGAAGTCAACAGTTTTAGAGCATGCTAAGAGTTTGTGTGTTTTTTTTTCTTTTTTTCAGTCTGTTCCCAGTATTCTAGAGGAGTTTTTGCCATTTTCGGACTTTATGATAAGAGGTCAGTACATACCTTGACCTCATTCTGCAGCGCCCTACACATCTCCCTCATCACGCCCAGTTTCCCCACTGAGGGGGAGAGCCAGTTCGTGCTGCAACTGAGACCTTCCTTACGGGGAGCACTGCTGAGCCTGCTGGATCACTACGAATGGAACTGTTTCGTCTTCCTGTACGACACAGACAGGGGTAAGTCGCACTTTCATAGCTACCTGAGTAAAACTCTGATTTTTAACTTGAAATGGTCTTGTATCACTTTTGTGATTTACGGAAATATTTTGAGCCCTAACGTGGCTAGAATCAGCAAATGGTCGATGCGTATTATTAGTAATTTTATCTTGACTCTGGGTGAAAATTTGTAATTAAACAAGCTTCAAATGCACAAGGTTATTCATGAACAAACCATGCTCTGTTACTCAGCTGAAATCAAATAATTCTATGAAAATGCCCATGATGACATTTCAGGTACAGTCAGTAAATAAGTCTTTTACCTCAAGTGCAGATGATTTAATGTCTCGGAAGGTCTTTAGAAAGTAGAGGTTGATTTTTTATATCTGCATCTATATATCTCTAATTTTATTTAGAAAAAGAAAGAAAAAGTAGCAGGTTGAACCATAGCATTGAGTTTGAAATGTAGAAGTTTTTTTTTTTAATTAAATTCAATTAGCCAACATATAGTACATCATTAGTTTCAGATGTCATGTTTGAAATGTAAAACTCTGAGTACTTGAAACATATCAATGCAGTACAGATTTGGTGGGAAAGCTTTTGCTTGCTGGCAACCTTTCACTTTATAAGGCTGTGAAGATTAATAAGTGATACTATACAACTCATGCATTGGGAAGACAAGGTGAAGAATGTTAGATTATTAACAATCCATTCATTTGTGTACATGTTTGAGATACTTTGACTTTTCAGTGTGAGACATAATTAAGAAGTTCCCATATTCTTTTTCTTTAGTTCTTTTTTAAAAATTTAGTGACTAGAATTGCAGCAACATATTATAGTCCAAAATAAACAGCAAGAAACTCCCTGTGGGGTTTTGTCTTTAATCTTTTTTCCTTAAAGACTTTGACTACTGACCAGAAGTTGGGATAAAAGTTGAAACTGGCAACATTTTAAGAATATCCTTGAATAGAATTCTATCTGTAAAATGGGTAAGATAATAAACAAGACAATAAACAAGCAAGATAAATCTTTTGAAGATATGATTATCTTCAGAAGTCCGAAGCACAATTTCCTATACTCAGAGATGGTATATGTCATGTAAGATGTCACACTAGTGGTGGTCCTAGTACATTGCTTATATTAGCATTCTTGGTAAATGTCCCTTTCTGTAACACATTCAGAAAATTTAATATCATCAGTGTATTTTTTGCATGGTTGCAGCATGCAATAATTCTCATTTGGAAATATGGGAACCTACCCATATCTCATGATAACATTTTCCCATAGCTAATAATCCAAAGCATTCTGGAGAATATATTTTAGATTAGAGAAATTATCATTCTGTGCATTTCTAACTTTTGGAAAAATCCTTAAGCAAGAGGACACTGAAAATTAAATCATAATACAACTGAAAACAACAATGAGATAGCGCTACATATCTATTAGAATGGCCAAAATCCAGATCACTGACAGCACCAAATGCTGATGAGAATGTGGGGCAACAGGAACTCTCGTTCACTGTTGGCAGGAATGTAAAATGGTGCAGCCGCTCTGGAAGACAATTTGGCGGTTTCTTACAAAATTACACTCTCACCATGTGATCCAGCAATCACACTCCTTGGCATTTTACTCATGGGAGTTGAAAACTTATGTCCACACAAAAAACCTGCACACAGATGTTTAGAGCAGCTTTATTCATAATTGCCTAAACTGGAAAGCAACCAAAATGCCTTTCAGTAGGTGAATGGATAAACTGTAGTTCATCCAAACAGTGGAATATTGTTCAGAGCTAAAAGGAAATGAGCTACCAGGGCATAAAAAAACATGGAGGGACCTTAAATACATCTTCCTATTGAGTGAAAGAAGCAAATCTGAAAAGGCTACATGCTGTATGATTCCAACTATATGACACTCTGGAAAAGGCAAAACTATGGAGATAGTAAAAAGATTAGTATTTGCCAGAGGCTAAGGGGAAGGAGGGATGAATAGATGAAGCACAGAGGATTTTCAGGCAGTCAAACTATTCACTATGATACTATAGTGGTAGACACGTCATTATACATTTGCTCAAATACATGGAATGTCCAAAACCAAGGGTGAAGCCTAGTGTAAACCATGGACTATAGGTGATAATAATGTGCCAATGTAGGTTTATCAGTTGTAAAATATGAATGTCAAATGCAAAAAAAAATTACACTTCAATAAAGTTAATGTGTTAAAAAATTGAATCATAATGTCAAGAAATATATACTGGGATCTGGATGAGATGGTTCTTAATGACACAGCCCAATTCACCACTTTGGGCAGAAGATGCTTGTTTTATAACACCTTGATCTCACAGAAACATGGGTGGGTTGCCTCTGTGCCTGAGTAAATCAGTCTCTGGCAAGGAGAAGGTTTTTAGGCATTCATGCCTTAGCCTCCCCACCAAACAGGGATTAAAAGTGGTGCTTTGCTTTGGTACTAGTTGGTACTTTCCAGGATCCTTACTCTTGCATAGCACATCAGATGCTCCAACCCTGAGCTACCTCCCATCACCTCTTTCCAGGGATCTGTCTAGTATAAACATACATATTTCATTATATAAAGTATCTTTTTCCTGGCTAAATTTCTGCCTCCAAAGGCTTAAACCCTTCATGGTACACGCACTGTTTCTTCTAAAATGGCATCTTGTCATCTTTAACTTACTTATTGGCTTGCTGCACAAAGTCTGCTTTTTCCATATTGTCTCCCTGGAATTTAACTGTCCTGTTTTGTTGTGTTGTGTTTTAAAAGTTTTTTAAGATCTTATTTATTGGGGAGGGGCAGAGGGAGAAGGAGAGCGAAAATCTCAAGCAGACTCCCTGCTGAGCTCAGACCCTGCGGCGGGCCTCGATCTCATGACCCTGGGATCGTGACCTGAGCCGAAATGAAGAGTCAGACATTTAACCAGCTGAGCCAGCCAAGTGCCTCATAACTGTACAGTGTTTAACCAGTTAATGCAAGTCACTCTCTCAAATTTCCTAGTTCTCTCCAGTAGTTGCTGCAGGATGAACAGCTAGTCCTTTGTATGGCCTTATATTATAGTAACCCAAGCCATCTTCAAAAGAGACAACTTTATACCAAGTGGTAATTGCATAAATGAAAAAAATAACATATCAGGAAGATGGCTATTTATATTTTTTTTTACTGAAGTGTATTTGACGTACAATGTTATATTAGTTTCAAGTGTACAGCATAGTGATTCAACAGTTCTGTGCATTACTCAGTACCCGCCACGATAAGCGTAGTCACCATCTGTCACCATATAGTGTTATTACAATGTTGACTTTATTCCCTAAGCTATACTTTTCGTCACTGTGACTGACTTATTTTAGATATGGAAGTGTGTGGCCTTTCCTGAATGTTGAGACGGTTTACCCTGCCATGGCATGACACTGCTTCCCAATGTTCTTGGTCTTAATTAAATACTCACAAAAGACAGTAATAATTTTTTCTCCCTTTGAAACTGTTGGGCTTATTTGATAAGTTTAGGATCACAAGACCAATTTATTTCCTCTTAGATACTGGGCTTAAGATTATGTATCACTGTCACCAACCGAGGCATGAACCTCAGTTGTGAACATGTTTATTTTCTGTCATAAATAGAGTTGGCTGAGAGTCGTCCGTATTTTCACATCACGCAGAGAAAGCACATGGATCAGCATTAAAGATAAGAATTTTTAATGTGCAAAACCAACTGTACAGAAATAAGATGATTTAGTACATTTTGGTACTTTTCTCTGAACTTCTGTTATCATAAACTGTTTATTTAAACATTTTTCATGTTATAAGTAACTACCTTAATATGACCCTGAATTTCTCCACAAACCTGAGTGGAACATGGCTTTCTGATGCATCAGAAATCCTTATCTTGGAATATGTTATTTCATTGATCCACTCAGTTACTTCTGAAATTTTAATCCCTGTAGTGATGTAATGATCTCATAAAATGCAAGAACTTCACTCTGTCATAACTTAAAGTAGTGTTTTCATGTTGAATCACGGTCAGTAAAAGGAATGATGCTTTCTTTCCTCTGTAAGCCTGTATTCAAGTTCTGTTCTGCTCTTGAGGAGCTGCATAAACCTACCCATATTTTTGTCCACATCTGTTAGGGAGACAGAAATATAGACAGAGAAGGAGGAAAGTTAAACTGCATAGTCCTTAAGGCCCATTAATACTTCTATAAGGTTTCTTTATATTTCATATTCTAAATAGTCTATTCCTAACCTGGAAACGGTGGGCAGAAAGAGAAAGGTAGTAGGCGGCATCAGCGATTTCTTTACGAGGTGACTCCCTACTTCTTTTCGTTTGCCTCTCCAAGAAGAAAACAGAAGTGTTCATTTATTTATTCATTTAATTTATCTATTTGTCATTCAATAAAAGTTTATTGTTCAGTTTGTCTGTATCGGGCACTTTGATAGGTATTAAGAATGCGATGATGAGCAGGACAGTACTGAAAGTAAGTTAACTCCCTTGCCATGGCTTCATTCGGAAACAGTACGCAAGATTCCACCTGACAGCCAGGAGCTTGCCTTTGATACATAGCTTGTTGTTTTTACAATTTTAATTTGGAACAAAACTTTAGTAAGATTTTTGGGTTGATAAATTTAAGGCTACTGAGTGCTTGAAATGTGACTTACGCACCTGAGGATCTGAATTTTAAATTTAAATTTTAATTGGTTAATTTAAGTAGCCACATTTGCCTAATGGCTACCGTATGGGACAACACAGTGTATCTAAACAACAAGCTCATTTGGAATAACAGATTGCACTTTGAGTGGAATGTCTGAATCTTTTCTCAGCTCATGTAGGAAAAGAACTTAGAGAACACCCTGTACAGATTCTTTTTATAGTAATTTTCACATTGCATTGTGTATACATTTACATATCTTTTCTTCCCCCAGAAATAGGTCTTTCACCAGTAATTATTATATCTTATTACATTTATGCCTTTTGTATGTAGCGTGGTAACCCCTGATAAGCGTACTATAAACATGAA